TATTATTATTCGATGGATATAGAGGACCAACTACGTCTATATGGACGTGCGCAAAACGTTAATCTGGTTGCGAAAAGTTTTGTAATGGTGTTTTCTCATGACGGTTAATTTTTTAAAGTCGACAATCGTTGCATTCAAGAACCCATAATTTAATATCTTTTCTCATTGATGGCCACACAAAACGGTCAGCGATGAAATGTAAGGTTGACCTTTCACCTGGATGTGACAGATTGTTTTTAAAAACATGCATATGAAAACTTTTAGAAATATAAGGACGAATTATGTTATTAGAACTGTCACAGTATATATTAAAATCTTCAATAGAAAACTTTTGTAACTTTAAATTAGATTTTGAAGAATTTAAAAAATCTATAAGTTCACGCTCATCTTGCTGACCTTTTACTAAATTAGATGAAGTGAGATCACGCTTTATTATAGTTGCTATACGAGAAAGGGTATCGGCAGCAATATTTGAATCTCCCTGTGCATAATGTATGTCAGTGGAAAATTGACTAAAAGTATGTGCTTATGTACGATAACTGACGTATATGTCTAAAAGAGAGGTTAGATTATTTTTTCTTGAAGGCATATTTGATTGGTTTATGATCTGTGAAAATTTTGATTAATAATTGTCCTTCTAGCATCAATGAAAAATGTTTAATTGTGGCAAATATTGCTAGAAGTTCACGGTCATAGGTTGAGTACTTTTGTTCTGATGACGATAATGGGAAAAATGCTAGTGGCTTAGGCAAACCATCAAAAATTTGATGAATTGCTCCACCTATGGATGAATAGGAAGAGTCTGCCATAACAATAATCTCTTTATTGGGGATAAGAAAAAACAAACTAGTGGAATTAGAAATGGCCTGTTTACAATTTTCGAATGCAGTCTCCATTTCAGATGTCCACGTCCACGTCAGTGTTATCAGAATAAATATGAAAGGGTGCTTGAATTTTGGCTGCGTGTGGAATAAATCTAAGATTAAAATTTTACATTCCTAAAAATCTTTTCAGTATACTAACAGTTTTGGGTTTGGGAAAAGTTTTTATGATTTGAATTTTTTGATCGGTAGAGAATAAACCTTGTTCAGAAATATTATGTCCTACGTTTTTTTTTGTGCGAAAGCACTTTTACTAATGTTTATAGATAAACCTATCTTTGCTTTGTTACTAAGGATTTCTTCTTATCTTAGAGATAAAAATACAGCATCAATATCCGACTAGAAAATAAAATATTTTCTATAGTCAATATATATGATATGACGAGCCGGGCAACATCCGAAATATTCGACTCGAAAAACACAAAAATACACTCGAAAGAATAAAAGACTCCTCTTTTAATAGTCGGAGACTTAAACGCCAAAAATTCTGCATGCGAAGGGGACAAAACAGACAAACGAGGACAAGAGTCAATAAACTGGACAACAAAAAACGGACTTAAGATCGAAAATGACCACGACAGCACACCAACATTTATAAACGAGAAAGGAAGACGCTAGATTGACTGTACAGTTAGCACGGACACCCACATACCGAAAAAACAATAAATAACCACGCCTACATTACATACAAAATAATAACAGACACCAGGAGAAAGATATATGGGCATAGACGGAAACTCTACAACTTTAACACCTTGAACAGAACAAAAATAGGAAACGAAACCTGAACACTCGACTGGACAATAACGCAAGAGCTAGACGAAACAGTTTTGAGAATAACAAAAACCATCACAAGAATCATGGAAAGAACTATCAAACAAAAACAGACCCAAAAAAAGAAATCACAAATAAGGTGAAATAGAGACCTGTACGAAGAAAGATAAAAGATACACAGAGACAGAAAAGCGTACCAAAACGAGACAAATGCACAACACTGAGCTAGGAACCTAAACACATACAAAACACAACGCAGGCCATATGAAAACTTAATCAAATAAACCAAAACGCAATCATTCAGAGACTTTTTAACAACAAGCGAACCAGACAACCCGTGGGTTCCCGCGTACAAAATAATTCCAACAAAAACAACCTAAGACAGAACACTTAAAACCATACAGAGAAGAGACGAAACATGGACAAGTAGCATCGACAACACAATTGAACACTTACACGACAAATAATTTACAAATTAGACGAAACAGCTTGCACCTAGCCCCATGCATAACAGACGACATACCATTTACGAAACAGGAAATAGACATCATCTTCTCAGCTATAAAAAATAAGAAAGCACCCGCGAAAGATAACATTGCAAATAACTAAGCAGTATCCTAAAAAAAATATAATACCGGACACACTTTTCGACATATACAACAAATGCCTAGAAACAGAATACATCCCGAAACTATGGAAAATAGCTGATACGGTACGGCTACGACAAAATATTCATATGCTTACTCCCGATACTGGGTAAGGTTCTGGACAAACTTACTAGCCTACTACCTAGAAACGCACCACAAAATAGATGACAGACAGTTCGGTTTTAGAGAAGGTATAAACCCAATATTATGGAAAAACTAAAATACAAGACATGCGAGACACTCCCTGGTAGCGACTGTAGACATGAAAAACACTTTCAACTTAACCTGGACACCTATGATACAAAAAAGACTTATAAACACAAAGACACCCTCAAACTTGACAAAATTAAGTACTGACGGCTTTAAAAACAGACAAATACGTACTAAGGCATTAATAAAAACGTAGATAGAGGCTGTCCACAGGGATCTAGCCTAGTACCAATACTTTAAACAGTATTGATGGACTCATGGTTTAAGGCAATGGACTAGACAGACCAACTGGACGACAATGACTTAGTCCAAACTTACGCTAAAGACCAGATGGTCATACTAACAGGCTCGTTACTCAAAATTATCGATGGCAAATTGACGAATATCTGGTGTGTGTGCGAAGCTTGAACGAGGGCGAACAAATTGACATAAAATGAAACCAAGACCAAACTAATAATTGTACCTCACAAACGAACAAGACCTCTACGAATAAAAATTGACGATGTAACCGTGACGATGAATGACTGTTTGGTCTATCTTGGAGTGGCCATGGATATCAGATCACTTTGGATCGCGCATGTCATTAAAACCAAACGAAAAGCCCTAGACATATCGATCAAACTATTTACGATTTATGTACTCAAAATCAATAAAACCAATGATATGGTAGAAGACTGAAGTCTGGAAACACAGACATGCAGACTCCAGGGCGATAAGACATTTACAGGCGACAGAGAGGCTTTTCCTGCTAGCCACCGTCAAGGCATATTGAACTATGCCCACACTGATACTGCATGTTCTTGCGGGAGAGACACCCCTTTAAGAGGATGCTAGGGCAGGTTGGAAAGCATATAACATAATCAGAGGTGACCGGAAATCTACAGGACCAGGACAAACGATAGAATACACCCAGCTATGAGACATATGTTATGTGCACACACCGACAAAACGGCATCATACATTATATGCACAGACATTGCAAATTAAAACGAGACGAACCATATAGGAATGACAATTTGGGATGAAAAAAAACTAACAGCGACAAAACGATACCAAACCATATGACACAATGTGACATAAATACATCGGAACAAAACTGGCAACAAAATACATACTACAACACAGCGACGAAATCCATGGGAACATTGAGGTGCAAACAGACTCAAAAGATACAATAACCAACATACAAAACTACAGAGCGACCAACAAACTCACACTAAACATACAAAAAATCAGAGATACTCTAAAAAATAATACTCGACATCAAACAAACACTAAAACCCAGCATACAGAGACAATAAACAATACACTGGCAATACATATGAGACAGGTGTGCCACAGGCAGACCTACCAACAGAGTTTTCGATAGGGTGGGAAAAAACTGGATGGGTTTAACATAGAAGACCATACAAATAATTACTGTACTACTGTACACGGCAACAAAAACTACTATGCAAGCTTTAACCTAACACCGGACATGTACCCCAACACATAACCTGCCAATACCAAAATAGTCAAACAGCCATACAAACACTGACAAACAGGCTGAGGGCAAATGGACTCGACCATCCACCTACCCACATAGTCAAGATTATTCGCTGATCAGCTGGCTCTACGAATAAGGGAAAAACTTAGTCAAAGAAGATGAATCGCTGTAAGTACAATATTTTTCCCATAATTCACCAATCATCCTTTTGTCAATTTCTAGAGATAGAAGAAACTTTTACTCTAATTTCTAAATTTAATTTTAACTATGACTTTTTTCTCTAACTTAACTTTTATTTGTTTTCACTTTTCTAAAAAAATACATTTCCTGCATATATAAGCATGCTTATACTAATACATTTTTGGTCTCAGGTAAATTACAAAAACACTAACACTAAACTTAAACGCTTTGTTTAAAGCTTCTCAGGCATGTAAACATTCGTGTAGGTCTAAAATTGTAACTACCCAAATTTTTATTTCTTCTGCTTATGCAATTATTAACGTAACTTTATGTATGCTTTACGTATATAATTTATGCTTATAATTTATGCTTTATACTTTATGCATTGCTGATTTTGTACTAATTTTGATTTGACATGCAAATTCACACATGATTGTATTCTTGGGAAATAAATGTGGATACAATGATCTTCTTTCCTCCTCATTTTTGGAGTGAGGCGTTGGGATGTAGAGAATATAAACAAGCTTGGCTACCGCAAGGTAGATGGGCATACTGCGGAAGATGTGTGTAAAAACACCTCTTTCGTCGCAAATCAGGCCTCGTGTTGCAGTAATAACAACGATTTGTATTTGTGAAGTTAACGTTAATGTTAGTTCTAATGTAAAACAGTGTAATAAATCATCACGCTATTTTGTGATACTTTCCTAGAAATAATTATAATAAGTAATTAGTTCACAAGATTTTTCGATTAAAATTATTGAAGCACAGTCAATAATAACTAACAACAACACTCAAACAAAAAATGGACTTACATATCTTCATACATATTTTACACATTTATACTACTTTACAGTAAATCTTGGCATTGACATTAGGCATTATTAAAATATTTTTTTATTTTTTAAAAGTGGACTTAACAGACTGAATTTTTTTTAGCAAAATTAAATTTTCTCTATTAATCTTTTCTTCTTGCCTTTTTCTATTAATAGCAAGACTTGATAACTTTTTGAAGCCATATTGTTTAGGTGGTACGTTATATTGATTCGTTCTTTGACTATGAGACATTATTTTTTTCATCAAAATAGTGTTGACTCGTTCAATATCTCTGAGTTCGCTGTTTTTAAACGTTACATTACGTTTCGATGATGAAGAGCATAGACTAACAGAAGTATTAAAATGTTGATTTAGATAATCTAAATCCGCATCATCTTCAAAGTCGTCATCATATGTTGTGTCACGCGTTTCTTTTTTCTTCAATTTATTTTCATTTAGATTCAGACAAGTATCTTCCTTCTCTTCAATACATTTTGTTGGTTTTGGATGAGGACCTAATAGGGGACAGCTTGGACTCAGCAGTAAGCCATCAACATTTATATTTGTTGTAGAATTTTTTGTTTCGTCGACCGTATTTATTTGATCATTTATATTTGTGATGTTTTTTATAGTTGAACAAGTAATGCAATCGGACAATTCTGGATTACTGTCTGAATCCATATCTTTAAAAATTGATAAAAAAGATCATGTAAAACCAAAAAATGTCAACTGCTATATATTTGACACTGTAAAATGAAATGTCAGATTTTAAAATACAGGGTTGGGATAAAGTATCGAACCAAACGGAAACCAAGGAGGGTATGCTTTTTATAGAGAAATTTGGGCGATCTCTGACAAAAAAATTTAAATCTTTTAAATGCTTAGACACGAGTAATGTCAATTAATTCAATGTGGCAACGTTTCGTTTTAATTATTTTATTGACTAATTGTCAGAAGTGACATTTTCTTGTTATTGTTGATAACAAAAAGTATGCATTTTTTTTTTAATTCGTTTAATATTTAATTAGTTAGCATATTTTTTTATTATATCGTTATGTGATCAGTTCGTTTATTATTTAATTAGAATATTTTTTTATTGCATCTTTCTCTGTTCAACTCGTTTTTTATTTAATTAGAATACCTTTTTATTTTTACATTTGTATCTATATTCGATCATTTTACCTGGCCCCAATAAAGTGTTTTGGGTGCAATGGGTACATCAATAAAAAAAGTACACCAAAAGCGGCCACAATGAAACCTACCGGCAGTTTCTACTGAATATTCAAGCACGCAGAGAAATTGACTGGGTAGAGCCTGGAGGGAAACTCACGCATTTGCACCCACTGCTATGCTACGTTCCGATGACAAGGTAAAGTAAAGCAATGTTTATAGTAGCAACATAATAAATCTTGTCTGTTTTCAGTCTTAAGGCAATGAAATAACGTAACATCCAACAAGACCCTATGCCCATCATTGAAAATGTGTACAACGATGAGGTAGACATTGAAAATGGTGAAGGGAATGGCGAAAATATTAGAAATGTACCACTCAAACTGCCAAATAATCAAAGATCTTGTTGAGTGCGCAGTGTTATTAGACAGCAGCGTATTTCAAGGGAAGCTGTTCTTAAGTTATGGATTCAAAACAGGATATTTTGGGGAACCGACCATGCCCGGAACATTTTGGGAATGGTTACTTTTCTGAAGAATCTGTTGCTCTATTGCGATTGCGGGCTGCTCCTAGGCAGCTTACTCATGGTGACAATGAATGTTTAATTAATCTGCTTACTGATCGCGTAGTAGCTCTTGAAGAAAAAAGCAAGATATTCGATTTTGACAATGAAAATATGGATGACGACGATTGCAAGTGTTTGATCGGAATAAGTAAAGCGCAGTTTGCAACGGTTGTAGGTAACTGTAATAACTTGACACCTATAAGGCAAGTTTTAAAAAAAATTGCGTTACTATTTTTATAATAAAACTAAGAAATGATCAAACGAAAAAGTTTTAACAAGATGTTTGGCATGAAACCGAAGCAACAATATCTTATTAGCCAAATAATCCAAGATGTTCTAACTCACTTACAGTTAGTTCACTTTGTTCCTCTTCATCTTGATTACCAACATATAAGTCGTCATGAATTAGCTACTTATCACAGTACCACTACCTCAAATCGTTTTTGTCACGTTAATCGGGTCGGTGGTGTTGCAGTCTAACGCGCTTATATTCATTTATAGGCAAGTATATGGTTCGAGACTACCGGGCTTCGAATTCGAGACCAGACCATGTGGATTTTTAATTAAATTGCATGATTCGGTATAGGATTTGACGTGTGCCATATTAATAAAAATTCAATATCTGTTGATATGACATGCAGAATATAAAAATCGCCATGCATTACCGTCTCCAAGATGGTGGGTGAGGTTTTCCGGGTTTCCCTTCCCTGTAAGTCAAATGGCACCATCAATCAGCTTTAAGTCGCCCCGGAGCGCCACGGCAAATAATAATAAACGCCATCCCTTTCCCAGCACAAGCTCAGCTCAGAATTAGGGAGAGTATTATTATTAATCCGGATTCATTGGTAGCTCTTTTTGATGCTACATACTTGTACCACGAAAAACCTCTTGATCATCTTTCTCAGCGAATGACATATTCTTTGCCAAAACGCTCAAATTTATTTAAATTTTCGGTTTTGACAGCACCACACGGATATATTATTGATGTTACCGGCCCGCATGCTTCAGATGCTAGAAACAATAATTCGTCGATATTTAACGCTATGGCTATTAACGAGGACGGTTTTTTTTTTTCATTTTTTCAAGAAGGTAACAGCATTGTATATGATCGCGGTTATCGAGACTCGATGCAGTTTTGCCAAAATATGGGAATAAATATTTTTATGCTACCTTTTCTTCTCAGCGGCCAACGTCAACTAACTACTCTGCAAGCAAATGAATCAAGACTTATTACAATGGACAGATGGGTAATTGAAGCGGTTTTTGGAAGACTACAAAATAAGTTTCGGTTCCTAAAAAATGTTGTGCCAAACAGTTGCGGATATGAAACATTTAGAAGCATTTTTAAAGTAATATGTGCTTTATCCAATGTGTTTTTTGTGCCTATAAATAAAAGTGGGCCTGAAAATGACACATTCTGTGACAAGGTTTTGGAACGTTTGATTCTCCCTAATAATTTATTAGACAGAATTAGAGATGAACGCCTAATTCAAGGTAGAATTGATTGGCCGCTGGTAGACGGATTTATTGACCTTCAAGACTTTCCAATTTTATTGAAAGATAAAATTCAGGACTTAACATTCGGTACATACCAGATTCAATTATCGTACAGTTATACGTCATCACATATAAACAACGGCAACTCTTTGGTAAGACTACATCGTCAACCTAATGCCAAAAATGATAATTCTCATCTGATAAGAGCCTCAATACCTTCAAGGTTTTAAACTGCTACCGAAAGAAAATGCTTTATTGAATATAACAGCCAACTAATTGGACGCAATAACTGGCTGGACATTTCTTTGCAAATCAGGTGCACGAGTTTTAGGAATGTGTGTACATGTCTGCTCTGTAATATGGATGTTGTCATACGAAAGGCATCAGCCAGAAATTCGTTATCCGTCAACAGATATGGCAAATAATTTAAATGACGTGGCTATTGCTAGACCACTTTAAGAAGTTTGTTCTTGCTTTAATTTGGTTAAGTAGATAGTATTTAATCTAGGCCACTTTAATGTTGGTATTTAGCATGGTTTTTCTGAACACATTTAACTTTAAATGAGATATTTTCATAGATTTTTTCAAACATATTTAAGTCGGTTTTGTTTTGGTTTGTTAATTATATTGTAGTACACTACTTGGATATAATTCTTGTACTTGCTTTTTCTCTCTGCTCCACTATGGGGACAGCACTGTTAATTAGACGCCAATAGTGAATGCTCGAGTGGGGAATTACCGTCAGGCTATGCAATTTAATTTTTAATTTTAGAAAAATTAGAAAGAAACTTGGCTCCCGATTGAATCCGAACCCGGATCGCCTGGATTCAAAGTCTCAAGCTCTACCCACTGCGCTACCCCACCTTGTTTCTTGTAATTTTGTAAAAATGTCATAGATTTTCTAATGGTATTTAGGTACTTGTTTAGGTACTTGTTAGGTGCGTACAAGATAGGTTTTCTAATAATGTTTAAGAGCAAAAATCTACATAGTTATTTTAAAAATGTACGTGTGTATTTAACGCGTTTTTATTCGAAATAATAGTCACCAAGCCTGCCAATTTATGAAAAAATGTATCTTATTTTTATTATTATTGTAATCCATTATTCATGATTTTACGTATAGTAAACAGAATACATCGTATGTCGCAACCCTTGGATATATCAAATCTTCCCACTGGCATGGCAGTTCATTTGTTTGAAATGCCTAATACAATATATGACAACCGCCTATATTTAAACAGCAGTCTTCTACGCATTCTGAATTTGTATCCCTGGGGTGGATGTTATTTTGGAACATACAGTTGGTCCGAGTGAGCTAACTGATTCTTTATAAACGTGGTCTAGTTATCCTTAACAAGCGTTATATTATTATATTCTATAACTTGTCAAAATATGCCAGCATCCTACTATGGTCTATAATTATTGTTTATTATTATTACTTAAAATTACTGAAAAATTACTAGGGGCTCGAACGCTTCGGGTCTCAATACAGAGAGAGTCAAGTCATCATTTAGAAGCATTATGTGTCCTAGAAGTTATCATATGATAGCATTTTACTAACGTCTAGAATTTATATGTAAAATAATTATTTATAATTATAAATGAAATGGTTTAGTTATACAAACTAACAAAAACTCCTAGGCTATCAATTTACCTACTGCTTTTTTTATTTTATTTTAATTTATTTATTATATTGAGATGCTAACTTCCGACCGTTAGCATCTCTTTTTTAATTGCAGTTTTCGGTAGTAAATTCGACAGAACTATTGATAAAAAGTGTCAGGAACCATAGAACTATATTGGATGCCATAAGAATTTTGCCTAAAATATGAGATGCTGATATTTGAGATGCCAACTTTACACACCTAAAAATAAGTAAATAATTACGAATGAATGGATTAGTATAGTAGTTTTTTGTCGTTGCCAATGACCACACACTCGTTTTTTCAACGTAAATGTAACGTTCTACGATATAAAAAAAAAACTTTCTTTTGTTCTTCCTTGTATGTTTTGATACTCATTCACATTTGCAAATATTTCTACTTTTTTTGTTTCACATTTCTGCTCCACAGCTCCAACTTTCTACCAAAAGCACTAACTTAATCACTAATATACAACATATGTGTGTTTGCTCCTTGGAGTTTTAGATTCAGGGTATTTAATTTCTCAAATATGTCGACCAAGTAACTTAATTTCATCACAAATAAAGCATTTCGAAACTTTTTAGCTTCCGGGTGGTTTTCCTCTTCTAGAAAAGTGTTAATTTCCTCTTTTAACTCATAAACACGTTGTAAAAATTTCCCACGCGATAACCATCTGGACTTGCAATAAAATATCAACGTCGCATGTTCTGCACTCATATCTTTGCAAAGTGCATCAAAGATTCTTGATTTTGGGGGTCTCAGTTTTATATAATTAACTACATTTGTTTTGATCTGTGGATCATGCAATGGGTCCAGACACATTGCAGAGATTTTTGTTTCACAAGTGCTTGTACACTTTGGAATCTTCCAGGCATTGTGCGAGAACCATCGATGCATATTCCAACGCAATTCTTCTATTCTATATTTGCCACAATAATTAAATTATTTAAACTATCAAACAAAGCGAATGCTGTTGCTTTGAGTTTTATAGGTTTGTAGAAAAATAGTTCTTCTATT